AAGCAGAGGCAGGCAGATCTCCGTGAGTCTGAGCCTCTCCTGATCTACAATGAGTTCCACGCCAGCTGGGTGTATATATAATGAGACTGCCTCAAACCAAACTAAACCACACAAAGCAAGAGAAGAATCTTAGGCATCCTGGAGTGAGCATCCCCAAAATGACCAACTAAAGGCAGAGATACTGTGGAACTCCACAGGATACAAGGTTCCACCTTGAACTCAGGAAGGAAAACCCAAAGGCTACATGGAGTACTTCCATCCTGAGACCACCAGATCCACAGTGGCAGGGCATCTTTTCTTGAAGAGTTCAGTATACTGAGAAGGTTCAACAGGTAACAGCACTCAATACTCGCTACCAGTCCTGACAAGCTGAGTTCAATCTCCACAACCCACATGGTAGAAGAAGAAAACCAATTCCCAAAAGTTGTCCTCTGACCTCTACACAAGTGCTATGGCACATTAAGACCATCACCACTACACACACACACACACACACACACACACACACAGAGTCCAATGATGAACACCTACAATTCCCACACTAGCGAGGCAGAGGCAAGAGAGTTGCTGTAGTCGCAGGCTAGGCATGGTTATACAGTGAGACTCTTGTCTTCAACAAGAAAAAGTTTTAACCTAGAAATGCTGACAGGGTAGAAATGCACTATCCTTTTTGGATTGTTCTGGAAAAAGGACACAGGGAACACAGATTGAAAGCAAAACCAGCAGAGTGGGTAGTGCACGCCTGTGATCCCAGCGCTCAGGAGGAGACCAGACAAGGATAGCATGAACTACAGACACTGCATCAAAACAAATCAATGGAAAACCCTTATACCTACAGATCAGAGGCAGCAAAGACAGCAGGGACTCACCCATTAGAGAGAATTTGGTGTCCAAGAGCAAGAAGCTGAAATTCTAGTTGAACCAAACACAGGGCCTGTGTAAAGTCAGTGAGCAATAGAGTTGCTGAATATGGAGAAACAAAGGGTAGACAAATGAGCGGCTACGCAAGCTGAACCTCACTTATCACTTACTTCAAATAACCAGAATCAGGTGACTAAAAGGAAATCTCGGGTTATCTAAGCCTAACTTCAGCATCCAAGCTAGACAAGACCCGAGCTGTCCCATGTGTTTGTTTTCTGTCACATATGCCAGACAAGTACTCTACCACTGAGCTTTCCATGCACAGACTCTCACCACATAGTTCCAAGGTTAGTCTTGGTGTCAGCATCCTCCTGCCTCAGCCTCCTGAGTGCTGGGGTTACAAGTATGCACCATATGCCCAGTGGCCACCATTCTTACAACCTTTATCTGATCCCCCAGGGGAGTCCAGGAAACCAGGCACAGGATATGAATGAGCCCCAGGAAGGACACACACACATGGCCAGAATCCTGGTTGTGCTGGAGAGCCACAAGCTATTTTCAACACATCTGACAGGAGACAGAGATCAGCCCTCTGGAGAGCTGTCAAAATTCCTTGTCTCGGGACCAGGGAGACAGCTCAGTAGATAAAAGTGCTTTCCACGCAAGCTGGAGCTTCATCCTCAGAACTCACACTGGAAAAAGAGAAGCAACTCAGCTGTCCTGGAACTCACAGGGATCCACCTGCCTCTGCCTCTCGAGTGCTGGCTGGGATCGAAGGTGTACACCACTACATCCAGCCCTGAATTGTAGCATTTAATAAACCCTTAACATTTTTAATGAGGAGAAAATTTACTTCAAAATGATCAACTAGGATCTAGTAAGGTGGCTCAGCAGGCAATAAATAGCATTTGCCACATAGGACTGGCAACCTGAGTTTAATCCCCAGAGCCCACAATGCAAGGAGAGGACCAACTTCCCAAAGCTGACCGCTGTATATATAGAGCCTGCGTAGTGCTGAAGCAGATGCAAGCCCCCACACACACACACACACAGAGCAAATAAAAAAATAAATCCATTTTAAAAAATCATCATCTAGGTTTTTTTATTGGTGGTGATTTCCTTTTTGTGTTTTATATTTTGCTTTCTTTTTTGAAACAAGGTCTCGGTTAGCCCAAGCTAGCTCCAAACGTATTGTGTAGCTAAGGATGACCTTGAGCTTTCAATTCTCATGCTTCTCCCAAGTGCTAGCACCATAAATAAGCAGACACCACCTGTCCTGTCTGATGTAGTGCTGGGGATGGAACCCAACGTTTCATGCGACACAGGCAAGCATCCTACCAACTGAGCTACAAACCCAACCCTGATGGTCATTTAGTTGTGGAAAACAAAATAAAACTATCTGCCTCCAGCATCTCGTGCTTAATATTCCAGCTCAGAGCCCAGAAAACAACCATTAAGGAATTTTGTACAAAATTCACAAGCAAGCTGGGCAGTGATAGCACTCGGGAGGCAGAGGCAGGGGCTATCTCTGAGCTCGAGGCCAGCCTGGTCTACAGAGTGAATTCCAGGACAGCCAGAGCTACACAGTGAGGCCCTGTCTCGGGGGTTAAATTACAATTAGTTAAAAACAAACTTAACTTTATCACCATATTCCTCAAGGCTGTCTCAGAAACCACCCCTAAGCTCCCACCCGGCAATCCTCCTGCTCCTCTGAATAAGGCGCCCTCTCTGACGCCCAGACAGGCAGTGCTGCCCCAAATTATACACGACTTTGTGCCGCTTCCTAAATTACATACAGTGCTGCCTTTTTGCTAATTGTTTCATGTACACAAACGCCTTTTCTTCCCCAAATAAAATACACGAGCTGCTTGGAAACAAGGCCTGTTTGAGTTTGTGGTTGTCTGTTCCCCAGTGCTGCAGTTTAGCACGCAGGGAGCAGCCACTGTGTTGGGCCTGAGCAGCCTCCCTCCCTACTGCAGGAGCTTCCAAACCACAGCCTTGTGCACTGGGCTGCCCGCCTAAGCCGCTGCCCACTTCTCCAGTCACCAGTCCACGGCAGCCAAGAGCTCTCTGGCCACTCAGCCTGTGCCCCTGGCCTGCCCCAAAAGCCAGCCCTCCGTAGGCTCCTCTGCCTGACACCCTCCTGCCTCCACTCCCAAGAGGAAGGAGTTGTTCACATAAGACCATACAGCTCGGCTGGTACCCTCATTTAATCAGGCTGCTGCAAATGGCTGGCCAAAAGCAATAAGGGCATGACTGAGAGACTGTGGGAGTTTAATATAAAAAAATTAATAAAAAAAAGGGGGGGAAGGAAAAAGGGTCTACCTTTTAATAGGGCCCTAATTACCCAACTCACAGGATCAGCCCAAATGAGATGGGAGTTTATTTCGGGTTTTTTTTAATTATTGGTTTTTTTTTTATATATATATAAATTGCTGCTATGTGTTTTCTTTCCTCTGAGCAATTATGCAGTAAGTACGTAAAGAGGAGAAAAATATTAATTAAATATAAGGTAATTGTAGAGTTGGCCTGGAGAGAATGAGTCTGAACTCTGGGCGATCACAGGCTACCAGGGTTTGAAGAGTGCTCAGGGGCTCCCAGAAAAGAAAGAAATAACATAACCAACCAACAGGCAGATGCACAGTGCAGCGGAAGGGGCCACATGCAGAACCTGACACAGCACAGGCCTGTGGGGGCCCACACCCAGGAGGTAGCCAGTGTAAGACACTCCGGGCTTCCAAAGAGCCTTTGCAGTTGTGCCCCTAAAAGGCGGCCTGTCCTCACTTCTTAGGATGGAGAGCCAAATCAGGGCGTTTCAGGGGAGCCCACAGCAGGAAGGGATAAAAAGACTACCGTGTTGGGTTTGGACTTCGGTCTGAAAGGCTTGGAAGCAGAGCACAGAGGACACACGGACGCTGGCAGAGTGAATGAAGCATCCTAAGAAGAGCAGGCATGCAGACAGTGAAGAGGGAGGCCACAGGAATGCTGACATGTGAGCCCGTAACTGGTGACATGAATAACACCACTCCCCCAGGAGTCTCAGAGGTGCTTGTGTCCCCTGGGCCTATCTGCATCACAGCCAGATCCCTCTCACCTTCTGCCTAGAAAGCCTCAGAACATGCTAGAACCTGGACCTGTTCATACCAGCCAAGCACTTCACATCATCCCCTCCAACTCGGCCAAGAGAAGAGTGAAGAAAGCAGGAGCCTGCACTACACAGGCTGCCGAGACAAAGCCTGGCCGTGTGCCCCTGTGCGCACTAGTTAGCACACTCCAAGAAAGGAAAGGCTTGGCAAAGTTAAACCAAATGCTGGCACAGCCCTAAAACTCATCTGGTTTGCACAGAACCGGTCTTACTACCCAGCCCACAGGATTTACATCAAGTCCGGGAATGCCGAACAGTGAAAACAGGGCAGGCGGGCAGAGACTCTGCCTCGGACCACTAAAGGCAACCGCTCTGCTAAGAGACTTACTTAGCTGGACGTGGTGGCATCCGCCCTCTAATTCCAGCACTTTCGAGGCTGTGGCAGGAGAACCACTGTGAGCTTGAGGCCAGCCTAGGCTACTTGGCTTGGTGAGTTCAAGGGTAGACTGGGCTACAGAGTGTGGCCCTCCTTGTTTAAAAAATAAAAAGGAGCAAAAGAAAAGGCCTTCAGGGTTCAGTAGGCCTCTTTCCTATCGGAGTCTAGGGTCCTACAGGTGACGGCTACCACAAACTGAATCTCTGGCCACACCAAACCAGAGTCGTCCTCTCGCCTATCCCTTAAAGGGCACCTCAGGAGCTTCACCAAAAGCAATGAGTGGGTCTCAGTTTCCAACAACTGGAAGCTGACAAGCAGCAACTTGAGGCATCACTCTAGTTCCACCATTAGCCCATTGGCAGCATGCAAAGTGCGGCATGGCTGCCAGGGAAGATGCGCCCAGTTCCAGAAAAAGACCAAAGAGGTCTTCTTGTTAATTTCTTCTGCTCAACAGCAGTCAGAGGCCAGAGGTCAGGGGCAAGGCATCTCTGGGAACACGCACGGGGATGCCGCTGGTAGGGGTCACTTAAGCCGTCACAGCCATGGGTCCATCAGGCTTCCGTACAGTCACACAGGAGCCAATGGCTAGAGAAGGATCCTGTGGGCCTTCGCACTTACCAATGGCTCTCGAGGCACCACATTCTCACTTCCTGGAGAAGAGCTTGGCTGCAAAGAAAAAACAGAAACAAAACTAAGATCACAGTGCCACCCAATGGACGTCAGAAAAACAAAGGTGTGCTGTATCTACGTGGGCTGCTCGCTGTAAGACAAAATTTGCCAGGAACAGACTGTTTGTGAGTTCACTGTCATGGCCTCTCACAAACGGGTTGCTTTCTCCCAGGAGAACTGAGGGTCAGATGTAAAGAGGAGGGATGGAGGCCATGACAAAAATAAAAGACCAGAGAAAGGCTATGCGAAGATCTATACTTCTTTTTACCACCTTCCCAGCTAGAGACAAAGAACTACAGAGCAGAGAGAGTGTAGAACAAAAGGCAGCCACAGGGGGGCATCAGCTACCCACGCTAGGGGTTTCTGTTTTGTGTCTGTGTCTGTCTCCAATGTAGCCAACGCTGACCTCAAACTCACTGTGTAACTGAATGTGACCTTGAACTCCTGATCCTCTTGCCTCAACTTCCAAGTGCTGGGATCGAAGAGGTGTACCACAAACATACACCAGCAGCTACTACACTGGTTAAGTGCTGCCCAGCACAAAGAACGCTACTTCAGGGTTAAGTCTTCCATGGAAATAATCTAATGACAGTCTGAGAGATAAACAGACCAACCTATGAGCAGGCAAACAGCACTGTGACCAGATGACCACACTCCCATCTGTTTCCACAGTCTTCCCTCCTCACACATTCAACCTATTACTGCACTGACCAAATTCGGAATAGGGCTGTGAGGACAAAGCAAGACACAAATCCCCAGAAGGATATGACCAACAGCCTGCCTGAATGAGTTGTGGTTCGTTTACTGTTACTGATGTAAGAGTCAATTGCCAATTTTCTACAGATGTCCAGACAAGTGCAGCTAACGTGTGTCCCAGGAGCTGGCCTCCACCCCCTCCTGGCTAGTTGAGACAGCCTGTAACAGGCCTCCTATGAAAAGGGCAGGAGCTACAAGAAGAAAGGGTTCTGGAAAGAGTCCTAACAACTCTTACTGCACAGCTGCCCGACAGTGTCAAGGCCTCTGCTAGACTCTCCATCCAGAGTCCTATCTTAAGAGCTCCACCATCCCAAGATCAAAAGGCCAGGCAGCTTGAAACTATGATTGGAGGTCAGTCCTCTACCTGAGTGACCTTTCTCTTCCCCCTGCCATCCTCCCAGGGTCCCAGGCATCAAAAGCTCACACATTTAGGTCTGGGCCAGACCCCTGACCTCCTTCCTGCCTCCCCTTAGACTTTCAAGTCTAACACAGACTCCCCTGAGTCCAGCATGGACACCCTCCTCCAGTACTGCTGGAAGGCCTTCTTCAAGAATTCCCTCTCGCTTACTCCCCAAAGACACCCATTATCTCCTCCTGCCAGTCTCCCCTTCTAAGTAGCCATGAAATCAACCCTCTACTTCTATTTATCTCTACTGCCATCACTTTGGTCCAAACTTCCAGAATCACTTGCCTGGACCTCTGCAAATGCTTTCTAATCAGCTTACCTGGATTCATGCTGGCTGTCTTCCAATTCACTTTCCACAACACAAAAAGCAAATCATTTATGAAGGAAAACTTGATCATCTCCCTTACTTATTCACTCATCCACCCCATAAGCAACATCATCAATAGCTTCTTGATGTTCTCAGAAGACAGGAAAAACTCCTCAGTGCAGTCTTGGAAGCCTCACATCTACCCTAACCACATCTCGGCTCTCATGTGCAGCTGAACTGCCAAGCTCTGTCCACAACAGTCGCCGGCTTCTGCTTTCTTTCCAGGGCTGTGCACAGGCCCTGCTGTCCTCTCCTCCCTTGGAGTTGGCTAAGGCACATCCCCCAGCACAGATTCCTTCTAAGGCATCACTGATTAGGTCAGGTCTCCCTGTTACATACTCATATGACACCAAGTAAAGAAGCTGAGGGGCTGGAGGGATGTCTCAGTGGTTAAGAACACTGGCTGTTCTTGCAGAGGACCAAGGCTTGGTTCCCAGCGCCCTCCAGAGGTGTGTGTAAGACCATTGCCACCTGTAACTCCAGTTCCAGGAGATCCAGTGTCCTCTTCTGGCCTCCGAGGGCGCCATGGACACACGGAGTTCACAGGCATACATACAGGCATATACTCAGTCACAAATAAATAAATATTTGTAACTTTTTTTTTTTTGAGACAAGGTTTGTCTGTTTAGCTAATAGTCCTGGCTGTTCTGGAACTAGTTCTGTAGACCAGGCTGCCCTCAAACTCAGAAATCTACCTCCGCTGCATGAGATTAAAGCTCTGCACCACCAAGACTGGCTAAAACACTTTTTTAAATAAAGAAACTGGATGTGCTAGCAAAGTTTGTAAACCCAGCACTCAGGAAGCTAAAGCAGAGCTTATGAATTAGAGGCCAACCAGCCTTACAGCATGAGAACCTGTCAGAAAGGAAAAAGAGGGAAAGGAAAAGGGAGGAGGAGTCAAGAAAAGAAGGCAGGGAGAAAAGGGACGGGGAGGGGAGAGGGGGAGAGGGGAAGAGGGAAGGAGGAGAAGGGAAAGGGACCAGGGTGAAGTCCACTAGTGAGGCTGGTCCTGGGGTCAATCCTCAGCAAACACACAGAGCAGCTGTCCTAACTCACTGATTCACAGTGGATTACATATTCAAGGTCATCATCTTCCTGAATGCTTCAATGAACTCTGAGTGCTAACACTCATTTAGCTCTTTCTTCACTTAATTCTCACACTAGGTGTGGAGTTATTGCTGATGAAGACACGAAAGCAAAGGAGGTCACATAACTCAGCAAGCAGTAGTTCATAGGGATTTGCACATGCCTAACTAAATGAAATAATCAAATTTTGTTTCAATCATATTTTATTAAGCAGCAGCCTTAATTTAATGCTACCCCATAAGCAATAATGTAGTCTATTTGACCAGACAAAACAAACACCAATGATATGGTTCAGCAAACAAGGGCATTTGCTATCAAGCCTGAAGAACCCACGCAATGGAAGAGAACCAAACCCCTCTAATCTCCATGCACATGCGTGTGAGCTCATACATACATACAGAAATGTTTAAAATGAACACAAACATCTTTAGTATTCAAGAAGTCAGTCTCTCTCTCTCTCTCTCTCTCTCTCTCTCTCTCTCTCTCTCTCTCTCTCTCTCGACAGGGTTTCTCTGTGTAGCCCTGGCTGTCCTGGAACTCACTCTGTAGACCAGGCTGGCTTCAAACTCACAGAAATCGGCCTACCTTTGCCTCCCAAGTGCTAGGATTAAAGGTGTGTGTCACCACCAACTGTGACTACCCCACCCCCTTTAGTTTTGGGGAGACAGGGTCTCACTATATAGATCAGGCAGACCTGAAATTCATGATGACCCTCCGGTCTCTGCCAAATACTGGGATTATAGATGTACAACATTATGCCTATCCTAAAATCTTTTACTTGAACAATTAAAACAAAGGAACTACTTGGTATATACAAGTCCAGAGGAAGCAAGTGGCAACCAGGGCTGTATCTCTCCCTGAAACATATATGAATGAGAGCCTTCATTTAATGCTGTGGCCCAATAGTAATCTGCTATGGAACAGTATCGCTCCCAAGAGACATTCAGACACACGTGAAGGTCTTTCTGACTCCAAAGCTCCACTGGCATTTAGAGCCAAGCAGCCAGTACAGACATATTCTACCCCAAACCCCCTTGGGACTCTTGGAGAACCCTGACCTCTCACCTCTTCACACAGGCGGTCAGCCTCCTGTCTTAACTCCAACTCCAGGTACCGCTTGGAAGATGAGCAAAGAGTCAAGCAGCTCACTGCCTGCCCAAGCTGGACCAACCCAGCCAGTCTGCTGGTCGCCTAGTCCCCCCCTTTGCAAAACGTCTAATGCTGTCTAATACCTGCCCCTAGGTCTACCTCTTCAAGTGACATCTGCCCGGAAAAAGATCCTTACTTACAAACTAAATTACAACTTGACTCTGGAACTCTTCAAAAGATCCATAGCCAGCCAGGTGGTGGCAGCACACACCTTTAATCCCAGCACCCAGGAGGCAGAGACTAGTGGATCTCTGTAAAATCAAGGCCAGCCTGGTCTACAGATCCAGTTCCAGGCCAGCCAAGGCTGCACAGAGAGACCCTGTCTTGAAAACAAAAACAAAACAAACAAACAAAAAAGAATCCACAGTTTTAAACAAAGAGAGAAGGCTTAGAAGCCAATGACTGAGGTCTACAGAGGTATAAGAACAAGGCTCTTCTGAACCAACTCAGGACCCTTAGAGGTCAGAATGGGGAGGCCAGGATGGGAAAAAAGCAAAAGATTAAGAGTGCTTTAAAAGAATACAAAGTTGGGGTCAGTGAGGTGGCATAGTAAAGACACTTGCCTGATGACCCAGGTAAAAAATGCTTACTGACAATCCTGGAGACCTGAGACCCATACATAGACCCACATGTTAGGAGAGAATAAACTCCAGCAAGTTGTAAGTTGTACATACACACACACAACACTTTAAAAATAGTGGGCAGTGGTGGTGCATGACTTTAATCCCAGCACCCAGGAGAAAGAGGCAGGTGGATCTCTGTGAGTTTGAGGCCAGCCTGGTCTACAGAGTGAATGAATTCCAGGACAGGCTCCAAAGCTACACAGAGAAACCCTGTCTCTGTGGGGAGGAAAAAAAGACACTATCTCAATAAGCAAAAATTAGGGGGCTGAGGAAGTGGCTAGATCAATAACATGCTGCTGCTCAAGCCTGAGGCCCTGAGTTTCATCCCCAGAACACAAGTAAAAAGCCTGGCTGTGGTAGTTATGGGTTTATAATCCCAGCACTGGGGAGGTGGAGGCAGGAGAATTCAATCCTGTCTACTTGGACGCAATGGTACCCAGCCTTACCTAACCTAGTAGGAGACCCGATCTCCAAAACATGAAGGTGGATCTCTGGCCTCTACATGCACACATCTGCATGCAGACACGAACATGTATGCACTGCACACATCTGCATGCAGACATAAGCATACACACACACATACACACACAAGCAAAAGATACTTTAAGCA